CAAAGGCACTGTTCCCAATGTGGGTCACAGAGTCCGGGATCGTCAAGCTCGCCAAAGACTTGCATCTCCAAAAGGCAAAATTCTCAATGTGGGTCACAGAGTCCGGGATGGTTAAGTCTGTCAAAGAGTGGCATTCTGAAAAGGCAGATTTGCCAATGTGGGTCACAGAGTCCGGGATGGTCAAGCTCACCAAAGACCTGCAACCCCCAAAGGCACGATCCCCGATGTGGGTCACTGAGTTGGGAATAGTAAAGTCAACCAAAATGCCGCAACGAGCAAAGGCATCGTCCGCGATGTGGGTCACTGAGTTCGGGATGGTTACGGTCACCAAAGAGCTGCAATCAGCAAAGGCACCTTTGCCGATGTGAGTCACAGAGTTCGGAATGGTCACTTTGGCCAACGTGTGGCAATCTTCAAATGCATTTTCATAAACTCGTGCTTCATCATCTGGTATTTCGACCACAAGCAACAGTTCCAGGTCAACGATGCCACCAAGACTGACGATCGCGTCTTTGTTGGAGCAAATCACTTTGTTCTGTTTGAAGACGACCGTCACAGCACTATCTTCAGCAATTCCAGCATCCAATATATTAGCATCATCGGCCAGCAAGTGGTCATCTCCAACAATGATCTCCACACTTGTAGTGCTGCGAGTGAGTTCGTCCCACACCTGTCCTTCCTTGATCTGCTGCTTGAGTGCTCGGCCAGTCGTCTCTGGCGTGACTTCAAGAACCATGACTTCACCGCTCGGCTGCCGCACTGAAATTGTCTTCGCCATGTCGACCTTGACGCTGATGCTTGCTATTTAGTTTTGTGTTTGTCTTCTAGCTGTTTCCTGTCTCTACAGAATGGGTAGTGCAATCAACCAGAAATGATGGCATTGACAAGGATCCCACTCAGGGTGTGGCCCCTTTGTGATCCCCTGTTGAGTCCTTCTTCTCCTTGGGCAGGTATAGGAATTCAAAACGCTCGCATGGTGCCGGCAGCCAACCACGAACGCAATTCCTTGAAAACAACAAGCCACGTGCCACTAAAGACCAAAACTAGGGACGCCCCTATACTTAAGACCCAAAGTTCCAGCCTTTGAATCCCGAAGTGGAGGTATCTCTCCATTTCCATCCATGCTTTTACCATAGCTATCTTTCCATGTTCCATGTAATGTTTCTCCACCAGTCAAGACACCCGGATCCCTTCGACTCATGTCTCCGGTCCGACCCCGCACCGGTCGCACCTGCCGAGTGCCGCGGACAGGGTTGGGCGAAACCACACGCCGTTCAGACGGCCAAGGTCAGCCTGGAAGGGTCCAGGTCACCCATGGCTGGAAGCCACTATGGAAGCCTAAGGGATCTCCAGTTGGACACCCCTTCAAAGGTCCAGGCGTGATGATGAGAAAATCATCGTTTGCCCAGTTTTGAGATTTAGTATTAACATATTGCAACATTCACTGTCTTGCGATATTTGGAGCCATACAAACATATACAAACAAAAACAGTGTCTTTGAAGGATCACTCCGGCAACTAGTTAAGCGAGAGTCCCCTAAATGGTGGATGTAGTGCAAACTTCCTTCCAGTCAATTCTAGCATTGCTCCAGTCCTCAGTGCATTTGGTTGCTTTGCGTTTGCTTTGTCATAAGCAAGTCTGGTGTCCAAATTGATGGGTATAGACATGCCTCGGAACTAGCCTTGCAGCATTTCTGCTAAACGTACCAAGGGCCTATCCATCGAAAACAACTCAACATGAGACCTCCAGGTTAGTTGCCAGGAAATGTCCTTGATTTCCAGGCACACACTCTTCAACCGTGTCTCAGGCCCTCCAATAGCCCAACGACCACAAGGGCTTGACCGGGCAATTGGGGCAAGATGCCAAACACGCGAGTTGAGCCTATAAGCTCCAAAGTAGATGTTATTTTAGCATCCAAATCCAAATGGAACAAAACACAAAACTTGAGCCAATGTTTTTTTGGGACATGTTCTGCATGCTGCATCCAGCCTAAGCTATAAATATGTAGGGAGCAACTTTGCCACCAACCCTTGACACCTCAATGATTCGTCTTGTCCCCCATCAGCTGGCCTGTCCATGAGTTCCTCCCGCGAGTGAGGTAGTCCAGCCTGGTTGGCAGTCCAAGTCTAGGCTGTTGCTTGCTTCCATGTGGACCCAACGATCACTCGCTAAACCAGGTCACGCGCAAAACAGGTCGACACCAATCAGGTCGGTCAAGGTTCGAGACTCCGTTCCAACATGACGCGTGAAACAGGACACGACGCGTCCGTTGAGGTGTCAGGTTGGACAGTACCCCCTTGGATCCCTCTCGGTATTTGATTCAAAAGGTGATATTCTATGTTAAATACAGCACAGAAGGGCGTTGACCAAGGAACTTATAACCCAGACGCGACGGACTGCCAGTCCGGACTGGCGAGTCTCACGGCCGATTGGGTGGTGCTTAGCGGGGGTCGACCTCTGGGGCGGCAGAACTATGGCAGTCCCATGGTGTGTCTGGGAAGGAACTTAATAATTGATAGTTTATGAATGAATGAAGAAAAAAACGTATAGTTTATGTTTCACTTGCCACTGATTTCAGAGATCAGGTGCTCAGTCGAAACTGTGGTTCTGGCATCTTCTGCTGTGCTCCTTGTAGCCCACGAAACCTAGTCCATAGTTCAACTGTAGATCTAGTAGATCACCAAAGGCCTTTAGCTGGAGTCTGCATAATTAGCTGATTGTCATTCAAAGGTGTCCCCATCCACTTCCCAGAACATTAGAATGGACTACCTGGACCCGAGACCTGCCAGGTCACCACCAGGTCCACTTGAACAAGTCTACAACAGTCACCCAAACTCGGAGACCGGTTGGAAGGTGCTAGAGGATATTGATCTACATCTCTTTCACTCACCTCACCACCAACCAACGCCAGTGACGGACGCGCCCCGACGGACGCGGACCGACCCGACGTCTGTATGACTCGACCGACGTGTCCTGTTCGGCGTCGAATGGGGAGTATACCGGTGGTGGATGTGTGTTTTTTTGAACAGGTCTGCAGATCTGCATGTTTGATCTGCATATACCCTGGATCTAGTCATAATGTAGAGTTCTACACCCTCAAAACGGGAACGGAACTGGTAGCCTGTAGACCCATCTGATGTGGATGACATTCAGGGGGGCAGGGGAGAAACCGGGACTTCGATTCGAACGCATTGAACTTCATTTTCCAGCGACAGTGACAGAATGCGGTGGACCATGGTGGACCTATCTTCCATTCGGAGCGCTATCCGGACGATTAATGGACACATTCCGTCTTCAGCTGCGCCGTCTGCGCTTTGCAACTCGGCGCGTTCCAAAGCCATCTAGCCCAAGGTGCTCGACTGAGTTCTCTAAAGATATGCAACCCTCAAAGGCACCTTCCCCAATGTGGGTCACAGAGTCCGGGATGGTCAAGTTTGACAAAGACGTGCAACCAGCAAAGGCACAAGACCCGATGTGGGTCACAGAGTCCGGGATGGTCAAGTTGACCAAAGAGAAGCAACGCGCAAAGGCCCAATCCCCAATGTGGGTCACCGAGTCCGGGATGGTCAAGCTCACCAAAGAGCGGCATACTCGAAAGGCAAAAGCCCCAATGTGGGTCACCGAGTTCGGGATGGTCAAGTTCACCAAAGATCTGCAACCCTCAAAGGCAGAACGCCCAATGTGGGTCACTGAGTTTGGGATGGTCAAGTTCGCCAAGGAGCTGCAATTCTCAAAGGCACAATCCCCAATGTGGGTCACTGAGGTTGGAATGGTCATGTTGACCAAAGAGATGCAACCTTGAAAGGCACCAGGCCCGATGTGGGTCACAGAGTCCGGGATGGTCACTTTGGCCAATGTGGTGCAAAACCTAAAAGCTCCTTCACAAATTTCAGTTTCACCATATTGAATTTCAATTTCAAGCAACAGTCCCCAGTCAACGATGTTGCCATGGCGGGAAAACGCATCTTTCTTGGAGCATATTACTTTGTTTGGTTTGAAGACAACACTCACAACAGTATCTTCAGCAATTCCAGCTTCCAATACAGTTGCATCACTGGCCAGCAAGTGGTTGTCTCCAAGAATGACCTCGACACCTGTAGTGCTGCGAGTGAGCTCGTCCCACGGCTTTCTCTCCTTGATCTGCTGCTTGAGCTCCTTGCCAGTCATCTCTGGCGTGACTTCGAGAAGCATGACATCACCACTCGGCTGCCGCGCTGAAATTCTCTTCGCCATGTCTACAAAGACTTCGACGCTGATTCTTGCTATTTCGTTTCATGGTTGTCTGCTGCCTGTTTCCTGTTTCCTGGCCCTGATGCAAAATGCCACGGATGCAACATCCTTCACGTGACTTGGCTTTGCAATCGGATTTCTGCGTTGTTCCAAAAAAGAACCTGATGCAAAATGGCACTATAGCATGTAAACAACTTGACTTGGCTCAGCGATAGGAAAAACTGCCTTGTCCCAAACATCACTCTGACACAGTGATCGGGTGATGGCATGCGACGAATTTGACATGTTCAAACACATTGACGTGCAAAGGTTTCGACCACCTGTTGGACAGTGATTCTGGTCACCTTCCATATAGGGCAAGGCTTTGAGCCAAAACCACTGGTTTCGAAAGGGCAACGAGCGCCATAAATTACATTGCCCATCATGAATCATGAAGCCAAGAGAAGGTGCGAACCAAGAACAAGAGCAACCTGCAAGAGAGTTCAATGTCTGTGCAAAATGCATCCCAATAGACTCGATCTACAGAAACATCTCGATCTACAGAATGTCTGGTGGAATCAGCAAGAAAGGCTCAGCACTGACTATGTATGAATGAGGATGGTATGATTGACAAGGATCTCACAAAGAGTGGCCCCTTT